ACCTTTAGTAGAATTTTATGTTATGAGTATGCATTTTATAGGAGTCGGCCGTAGTGTTTCGGTCGTGGGCCGATTTTAACGTTCCTGCGCTTGCTGTACAGTACATCGCTCAGCGTCGGTACTTCCAGGGGACGTATGATGCTGCGGTGTATCTAAAAGAAAGAGAGGCTATTCAGCACTCCTCGAAGGCTTTTGTTGTTCCTGCTCGCATTCCTCGGCATATGTCCGATAAGGGGAGATTGAGGACCTTGGCGAGTAGGTCTCTAGAGGGCACACCTTGGCGGGCTCATGCCCATCCGGAGCTATGCTACATAGAGGCATTACTACCGCTCTTGGCTCCACCACCTGCTTTTCTAGAGGGAGCAGGGGAGGTATTCTTCATTTTCTGCGTTTGTCTCTTGTATAGCCCCCAAGTAGGTATTTATTACTTAGCTTATTTTGTAGGATGCGCACACGAAGTTCGTTGCTCCTCTCGTGTCCATCACTTATTAGGGGGATGTGTGGCCCTGCCAAGGAGATGATTCCTCTGGCTCCTCCAGATCACTGCTTTATTGAGTAATTGATACCTCAGCACCAGAATTGGGTGAGTCATTTATTTTCCTTTTTACTTGCACATTTATCTTTGATTTTTACTGACTTGTCTATTGACATTTCTCTCGCGAGGTGGTAACGAGAATGTCGAGGGGTTTGGACGCCTTTCGTTACTAGCTAGTGAAATTGAGGGATCAAGCTTCTTGTCGCCGTGACGACACTGCAGATGTATTTCTCTTATCCTTATCTCATGCTTTATTTACTCATTTAGCATCTGACATGATTTACTTTTTGCAGGGACAGCCTATTCCTCGTCCACACACTCGGGCGAGACCTAAGGCTAGGAGAGAGAGGTTTGGGTCCGACTCGAGGTGTCATCGTACCTCTTCCAAGGGTGAGGGTGGCCGGTCGGAGACGGCTCCAATTGAGAGACCAAAGGGTTCAGGCTCTTTGTTTGAGGGTGCATACGCTAGGCCGGCAGGCCAAGGAGGCGTTTCATCTACTCCTTTAGGGGGTGGTGGGACGTACAAGGTTGGCTCGTCGTCCTAGCAGCTGGCGTAACCTCAGCCGTTGGCTATTCAGCATCAGGGTGAGCCTGGATGGGCTGGCCCTACTCTGTCGATCCCGACTGTCGGCGATCCTGGAGCCGGTGAGGGACATACTCCACGATCTACGTTGCTCTTCGACACTTTGGGAGACTTTGGGAGTGCCTCCCTATTTGCGTCCTCCGGTACCGTAGTTGTACCTGAATTTATTTTATTTGACTTGTAGGACTTATTATGCTTATTTTGTCTTTGTATTTTATGTGCATGTGAGTGTGTGAAAAACTTCTGACTAATTTTTGCGCAAAAAATTTATGTCACTTCCGACTTTCTCCCCCAAAAAGAAAAAATGAAAAATAAAATTTTGACTAACATAAGCCTAAAATTAATTAAGCTTAAATTAATCGAAAAGTGTTTGAAAGGGGTCAAAAAATGTAAATTTAATGTACAAAATCAAGTCATAATTAAAAACAAAACATATAATTTGCATAGCGTAAAGAGCTGACGTCGAGCCGACTTTCTGTCGCCAAACGCTGACCTTGTCGCCAGGCGACAGACCTCATCGCTTGACGTTGTTCCTGTAGTCTTGCACTGCACCTTTTTTCTCCAAATCCTTGATGTACCACTTTGTGCATAAATAGCCCCCAAATCTTCCGAGTTTTGTATATTTCGAACATATTAAAATAATAGTTATAGCTTTAATTCTCTTTAAGCAATCATATCTAAAAATTTTAGTGATTTTACTCGTGAGTGGTGCCGATCTTTGACTGCTAGGGAGAGAAAAGAGCTTGAACAATAAATTGGCAAGCTTCAACAACAAATTGGCCACCGAGACAAACCCCTAAGAAAAGTAAAGTTCCCCCAAGCTAATCATAGATACATCGCAACATCCCATCAATACAAAGCAAAGAAAACATAAGACAAGGGATAGAGGCAAATGGCACAAAAATGAGGGAACCAGCTACCACTACCACTTGGCTCGGAGCCGTTATTGTCATCCCCATCATAGGAAAACCCGAATGGGGGACCATAAGGATCCCATCCCCCGATATAACCAAGTGGCCAACCATAGTGCCCCTAAAGTTATCTTGCTGCCAAGGGGCAAGGGGAGTGAATTGCTCGGGCAAGGCGAGCGGTAGTGGGCGCTCGGGTGTACATAGGAGTAGATAGGATCACCCCTATAGTCGCTCCCACCAGGAACACGGTAATCATAGTAACCGTGCTCATCGGGGAATGAGCGAGTCTCGGTGTTGGACCCTGGGGGTCCTTGCCAATATGGGTACGTGGGTACCCCATCACCCCCAAAAGATGGTATAGGACCATATTGGGATGGAAATTAAGGGTAGTTAACCGGGGGAGTGATGTATCCCCGGTTAACACCCGCATCATATAAATGTTGTTGTTGGAGAAACATACCTTGTTGCATCTCCGTAATTCCTCTCATTTGAGGGTAGAGGGCCTCAAAGTCTTGATCGTACATTCCCTCCAACCGAATTTGCATGCCCTTCATTTGAAAACTAAGGGCATCCAAGTCGGTGTTAGCAAATTTGTGTTGTTGTTGATGTTGTTGTTGTTGTTGTTGTTTTTATTGTTGTTACATCGTCTCTTCTTCTTCTTCTTCACCCATATCTTCATCATCATCATAGTAGCGAGGGCGGTGACTTTTGGGCACATGCCAAATATTTACCACATTCTCGCGGTGGAGAGAAGTCAGGGAAGGGTTAGGAAGATAGCACCAATGCGTGTTCTCCCGAAACCAATCAAACACCTCGTTTTCCTCATTCTTTGCTAAGAACTAGATTTGCTTCAATTTCTTGATGTCGAGGTGAAGAGAATCAACATCCCCCACCGTAGTGCAAGGCGGCAAATAGTGCCCGAGCTCAAGGTTGGTTACTAGCTTGTGACCATGCTCCCACAAGGAATCTCGCCGGATTCCCTATCTTGCAATCCTTGGCAATACTTGACAAATGTGTACCCCAAATTCAGACAACCTCGATACTCCTCACGAGTAGCCACCCAAAGAATCCGAAGCTCCAACTGACTCATTTTACCCAACTCTTGCTTCGGAAATACCGAATACCCCAAAAGCCGATGGAGAACTCGGAGACATGGTTGGTACACCTTATTGATCATAGCATATCGGGTCAAAAAGTCACCACACCCTGAAACATCATCCCACCATGAGTTTTTGTCATACGCATCATTGAAAAAGAGATCGAGATCAAAGATATCTGAGTTTGGATCGAAATCAAGAGCCGCATTGAACTCTTTGAGAGATTGATTAAAATGAATGTTTAAGAGTTGAAACCAAACTCGATAGTAACCTCCCTCAGCCATAACAAGATCAACCGTAGCCAAAAACTCCAAAGTAGGTTGACCATACGTACGGAAGCTCCGGCTCACGAATGATCCCATACGGAGGTTGTTGAGCAATTCCCTTAAGTCTTCATCAATTCCCAACTTGATCATGTCCGTTTGGAAGTAATGCTGGGAAGGTTTAAGGGAACGATTATCTAAATAGCTTAACAATCCAGTCACAATACACCACAAACACCACAAGAAACACCAACCAACAATTCAAGATGCCTCAATCACACTCCTTTACCAACACCGTCATTCAACAACTCACTACCAAAATCAAACTAACCCAAATTTACACAATCACCACCAATTCAAATCAACAATTGCTTTCCAACACTACACCAATCACAATGAAACCAATAACCAATGCTCAACAATATCAATATCATACTACCAAAAATACGACCTCAACAATTCTCAACAATCATGCTCAATTTAGCTAAAAAAACATCAAACAACACAATGTGAGGCAATAACAATCAGCAACAACATATATAATCAACCAAAATCATTCATCAAAATCACCAAAAATCATACTACTACTATTCACAACCATCAACATTCCAATACTTGCAACTATATGATATAATTATGCAATTAAGAGTAAAAGAAGATGTTTATACCATACAAAATGCAAAATTGAACAAGTTTTGGCCACCAATTCCCTCAAAAAACGAACCCAATTTGCTTCAACAATGGATGAGAGAGATAAAAGGTTGAAATAGATGGAAATAGTGTAGTCTGTATTGAAAAGGATAAAAATGTGGGAAGATTTGATGATTTTTGAATGAAAATTGGTTGATTGTGTGATGAAATTTGATGAGAGGGGTTAGGGTTTGTGCAGTTTTGAGGGTGAGATGAGAGGGGGTGCGTTTGAGTGTGATAGGGAAGAAGGATAAATGAGTAAAAGAAAGGGGAAAGAAGAGATAAAGGCACAGTTGCAAGGGTGCGCGCCTGAGCCCTCCCCTGGAGCGCCCACGCCATATAGGCAATATGATTCTTTGCTTCTTTAGTGCGTTCATCTGTGGGTTTTTCGTTCAATATCATCTCGGGATTTTTGAACCCATCAAAATGATCAGTTTCTAAACATGAAGAATGTGGGTTCAACATCCCTAAAATAATGATAGCACCACAATGAACTCACCAAGTTCAAATTTTCTTCAAATTTTAGCACAATTTCCCTATCTTACATCACTAGTATTTCTTGTTACCTCAAAATTCGATAAACTGGAACATACATCACATAGAAAACCGCAAAACACCTATCCATTGCTCGTGCTCATTTGAATAATCCATCTCCATGAATTTACCCTACAATTCCAAAAGAAAAACAAATGAAAGAAAAGAAGATAAAAGAAAGAAAATTAAGAAAATAGAAATCAAAAGAAAAAGGTTAGAAATCTCCGAGTTGCCTCCCGAGAAGCACTTGCTTATGGTCTTAAGCTCGACCCTTCCTCCAAATCATGGAGGGTCAAAGGACACTACCTTACTTAAAGTGGCGGAAAGTACAAACTTCTCTTCAATTTGTAGCAACTCCTCATTGTTGCTTGATGAAACCTCATTTGCTTAAACTTCAAAAACAACCTTCTCATTCTTCAACTTCAATCTCATTCGCTTCTTCCTAGAAACCCTTGCCTTCTTCTTAGCCTTGTTCCTTCTTGTAGATGGGTTAACACCATCCACTTCCTTGGAACCATCCTCCTCCTCTAGAGGACAAAGCTCAAACCAATGTGGAATGTCAATTACCTCTTCGTCCTTAGCCATTGAAAGCTCCTTTTCTTTTTTACTAACTTTCATGCCATCAAACTTCACAAGCACATCATCAAAAATCTCGTGAACACCGTTAGTTGAAGAATTAATCACACACACATTATCCAATGAACGAAGGGAATTATCATTCATGACTCCTTTCATTCATAAAAGACAAGGATTCATGCATTGGTTTTAGCTTAAAACTTTATTTTTCATTACCAACTCTCAAAGTGATACGGTCTCCTTTAACATCTATTAGAGAACCCGAGGTAGCTAATAATAGTCTCCCTAGAGTAATAGAAATGTGGTCATCCTCTTCAATTTCTAGCACAATAAAATCTACGAGAATTGTGAAACCACCTATCCTAAGGGGAACATCTTCAACTTTTCCTTTTGGGAACATAATAGATCTATCAACCAATTGCAAGGTCATGTTCGTAGGAAGAATTTCTCTTAGATTAAGCTTCTTGAACACCGAGTAAGGCATAATGCTAACACTAGCACCTAAGTCACACAAAGCATTTTCAAACAACTTACTCTTGATTTTCCAGGGAATAGAGAAATAGCCCGGATTTTCATCTTCTTTGGTAGGTCATTGTGAATCAATGCACTACAACATTCACCAAACTCTATCGAATCTATCTCATTGCACTCTCTCTTGCCACTCAAAATATCCTTAAGGAATTTGGAATATCTAGGAATTTGGGTCATAGCTTCGGTGAGAGGGATAGAAAGATGGACCTCCTTCAACATGTCAACATATCTCCCAAATTGTTCATCTAACTTGTTTCTCATAAACTTTTGGGGATATGGAAGGTCGGGTTTTCTCACTTCCTCTTGCACTCTCTCAACACTCTTCTTTTTCACAAGGATTTCTTCTTTGCTCACACTCTTAGACACATCTTTCTCTTTTTCCTCACTTGAATCACAATCACTCTTCTTCTCATCCTCCTCACTATTCCTAGAAACTCTCTCTTTAAGCACTTTTCCACTATTTGTGGTGATAGAATAAACGGGTTTCTTAGGATCAACTCCTTGAGAGGGTAGTGAAGAAGGGCTAGCACAATCTTTTAAAGTGTTGGATAGTTGAGTTATTTGGGTTTCAAGAATATTGTTGTGTGTCATCATCTCATTGAAATTCTTATCACTCACCGACATTTAGGTGTTAAAAATCTTGGTTTGATTCTCAATGATCTCCTCTAAAGTAGTCTTGGAAGATAGGGGTCCCCTTTGGTTGTTGTTTTGAAAATTTCCCCAATTTTGATTGTTCCAATTACCTCATCCTTGATTGTTACCAAAATTTTGGTGTTGGCCACCAAAACTATGAGATTGGCCTTGATTTCCATACCCTTGGCTTTGGTTTTGATTACCATAACCTTGGTTGTTATAGTTACCTCAGAAACCTTGATTTCCTTGGTTCCTATAACCACCATTGTTGTAGTTATCAAAAATACCTTGTTGGTGAGAATTCCTATTCCCAAAATTCCTTGGACCATCAAATCTTTGACCATTGTTATTATTGGAAACAAAATTCACTTGCTCACAATCATTGTTTTCAATATCATCACAATTCTCAAAATGGTCATAAGACCCACAAACATCACAAAAGACACAAACACTTGGCATATTACTTGAGGTAGAAGGAGGAGTAGATTTAGATGGTGTACCTCTCCCTTTTATGTGGGAGGGAAGACTTGGTGCAATCGAAGAGGCACTCTCTAACTTGGATTTAATCAATGTAATCTCCTTTCCCAAGTTTGAGATTTGGGAAGACAAGTTATTGATTGCGTTAAGATGATCAACCGAATAAACCGTTGAGGCACTCTTGCTTATGGACTCTCTCTCTCCTTCTTTCCAATCCATGTAGTGATGAACTATATCCTCAATTATATCTACAACCTCTTCTTCTGTCTTGTTTATAATCGGGCCTCCGGCTCCAGCACCAAGACACGACTTCCCTTGGGGGCTCAATCCTCCATAGAAAATTTGTATGATTTGATAAGTTGGAATACCATGATGAGGACATTCTTGTTGATACTCCTTGTATCTTTCCCAAGCCTCATACAAACTCTCACTAGGCTTTTGCTTGAAACTTTGGATTAGAGTTCTTGCCTCGGCGGTCTTCTTTTGAGGATAGAAGTGGGAAAGAAACTCCTTAGTAACCTCATCCCAAGTTCTCAAGGAATTATGTTTCACTTCCTTGTCCAACCATTACAAAGCCCTTCCGATTAAAGAAAACGGAAATAGCTTGAGCCTTATGAATTCTTGAGAAACCCCATTGACCTTGATTATATAACAATACTTCTCGAACTCTTTGAGATGGTTTAGTGGGCTTTCATGCTTGGCACCACTAAATTGCCTTCGTTCAATCATTGTATCATTGACGGCCTTATCTCAAAGTCATTGACGGGAGTTGTTGGTGGAGCTATGCCACTCTCAAATCTATAAGCGCCGGGAGTTCCCAACTCCTTCAAAGAAACTCTTGGATTAGCTCCCATGCTAACTCGATCCTCCTTTTCTCTTTCTTGGCAAATTTCCTCTCTTGGAGAGCTTGGACTCAAAGAACGATTAGCAACCCTTATCCTTGTTATTGTTCTCCCGATTTCCAGATCAAATGGCACTAAAGTCCTTCCTCTTATCCTACATATACAAAAAATTCAAAGCAAATATCAATAGCACGGCTACAAAAGTAGCCTAAAGAAAAATATATTTGTATTTTTGAAATTAAGTGAAATGGACTCAACAATAATAGCAAACAACTACGACATTCCCTGGCAACGGCACCATTTTGGTCAAGGGTGGAGACTAGGTCGTTGAAAACTAATCTACCCTCAGTCAAACAAAATTTATAATCTCTCAACACACCCTTATACCTAGCATAGTGATGGGTGTCATAAATGGCACCCATTTGATGAGTATTTAGGTTGTTTTCATCCTCTTTTCATAGCTTTCTTGCTCAATAAATGCTTAGTTTTATGCTTTGTTGCTTAGTTTTACCTTTCCTCGCTTATTTTGTAGTTTTTGTGTATTTCGTTGGTTTTCTAGCCTTTTCTCCTTTATTTTCTCTATTTCCGTGGTTGTAGGTATTGTACGAGGTTTACGCCTTGATATTGGTGATCCACTAAGGTGGAGGAAGCTTTTAGAACAAGCTCATGGCATTTGAAAAGCTCAAGATGCAAGGAAGTGGAAATTCCAAGTCTTGGCTCTTGCGCTCGCATGTCGTGCTACCATTAAGAAGTGGTGTACCCACTAATCAAGAGCATTATCTACTACCACTCCTAGTGTTCATCAACATCATAAGTCATGCGACCTTAGCGAACGCACGAAGCCGCGAGAATCTCGAAGGAACCTAGCTAGGCGCGTACGCACATCAAGGAGGCGCGGGCGCACCTAGGGGTGGCGCGGTCGCACCTAAGGGTGGCGCGGGCGCACCCATTGCGTGCACAGGCGCACCTCCCCTACTGCGCGGGAGCGCCTTTGTGGGTATTTTATGCTCGGTTTTTGGTGTTTTCGCGCCTCTATATATATCTATGTAAACCCGATTTTTGGGGTAAGTTTAGAAACAAAGCTTTAGAAGAAGATTTTGATCATATTCTTAGCTTAGTGAAGAGCTTCTCTCTCTAGTTTTAGGGTTAGTTTTAGGAGTAGATTTTAGAGAGAAAATTAAGGAATTTCAATGGTGATTTGAGAGATTGAAGATGCAAGGGTGACAATTCTATTGGAGATCTTCTCTATTATCAATGAGCATTTCTAACTCTATCTCATTTATTGTTTTGATTAGTTTATTCATGTTTGTTTAATTTGATTTCATTGGATTTTGATGTTTGATTTTTGATTAGTGTAATTGTTCTTCATATTTTGTTGATTCTTGATTCCTTTAGTTGTTTGTTGATTTGATGATGTTGTTAGAGTAGTTTTCCTGCTAGGGTGATGGTGAAGCTTATATTATGTGATGAATTGATGTAGATTGGGGTAAATTGATGGAGTTGATGATGTGATTAAATTGGTTAATTGATTATGTGCATGTGTGTGTTTGATTTAGGCTTGATCACCCAAGTTATTCACACTAGATTGCATTGTAAGTTCACATTGATACGGACCATTGATTTGTGGCTTGCATTTACACGATTGAGGTGTCTTGTGACGTTTCCTAGCTAGAGTTTATCGTAGTTGACGCCAGTTAGACCTCTAGAAGAATAGCTTGATATGCTCTTTTGGTTGCTTGATTGATCTTCCCTCGCATTGCTTGACTTAGTCGACTTCCTATCCCAATTTGCTATGTTCATTGCTATTATTTGTGAATCCTAATCCCTAGCACTTTATTTGTTCGGTTTCTCCATTTAAGTAGTTGTTAGTGTCACCTTTTATCCTTAGACTTCGATCTTGCTTAGGCACATAATTTAAAGCACTTAGACATTACCGTTCCTTTGTGTTCGACCCTTGACTTACCTCTATACTTGTATTTAGGTTAATTGAGCTTTTACAAATTTTGTTTGGCTTAGAGAGGATTAGTCCAACGACCTAGTTCACCCCACGTCAAAATGGCGCCGTTGCCGGGGAACGGTGTCTATGTTTGAGTGTTTTTGATTGCTTAAGTCTAGGTCTTTGTGTATACTTTTCTTTTATTTGATTTTTGTTTTCTTTGTAAAAATTGCATGTCTATCTTTTCTCAATATGATGATGAGCCTTTTTGTGAATTTCTTGACTATAATTGTTGTAGTCTTTAGGAGGCTTGTGAGATTTGTTATTTTGGTTTGAATGAGCAAACTAGGGATGTAGTTGAAGGAATGCATAATGGTAGATTTAGAGAATTTTCTATTAAAGATGCTTGGGAATTTTATGTTTGATTTGCTTGGGAAGTCTATAATAAGGGTAATCGTGCTTCCTTTTTGATGTGCAATGTGTTAATTCTTCCAATGCTAGCATGATTTCCTATGATTTGTCACATGATCCCATTAGTGAACCTAGAACAAGTGCTTCCAATTCTATTTCCTCTTTTGTTCATGGTAATGAAGTGCATGCTCATGTTAACAAATCTCATATGTTTGATTGTGCCCCCACTCCCCAATGTGATGTATATGATCATGATTTCAATGTCAATTCTTCCAATCTTGGTTGTACTTCTTCTTCTCTTGTTGAGCCTCAATCTTCTACACCTTTTGAGTCTCTTATTGCTACTTTGGAAACTCAAATTAGGCATATTGAGCTTAGTGATGATCTTGGGCCTAAAAAGGAGTCGATTCTTAATTCTATGAGAAGGCAATTGGAGGTGATGAAAAAGTGTGAGGAGCTCTTGAGGAGGGAAGAAAGAGAGATGAAGAGCTAGAAATCCAATTGTCATCTTTGGTGCTTGTGTGTGAAAATTACAAAACCAATGTGTGTGTTGAGGATGATGATGGTGATTTCGAGCAACCAAGAGTGTGTGAGGATCCTATTGTTGAGCATAGGAGTGAAGGAAAGGGAGTCGAGAGTGATGATGATTTTGATGATATTTTAAGTCTAGACATCTTTTCCTTTGTTGATTTTGATGAGTCTCAAGTGTATGAATGTGACTCTTCTATCCATGAGTATTTGGACTCGTTTTAGGTTATGTCAAATGTGTTTATTGAGTGTATAAGGAATATCCATAGCCTTTTAAGCAAATTCATTGAGGATGCTTCATGGGAGAGAGATGATTTTAAGTTATATTTGCATCCATTCATGCATGGTTTTGAGACTCTAGGCTTTAAGGAAGTTGAGGGAGTTGTTGTTCATGAAGGTAGTGGAGGAGATTATGTGGTTCCTCTTTGGAGTTGGATGTTTGAGGGAGATGGTGATCATGAGTGTTCCTCTTTTGAGGACTCTATGATTGATTTTCATGCCTTCATTGGAGATATGGGACCTTATGTTGAGGGAGTAGCTACCCCTTTGCCTATTTCTCATACCCCTTTCTCTCAAAAGTTTCACCACGTCCCCTATTGCCCCATTTTTCTCCCTTCCTTTGTTGGTAAACCTATTAGGGACCCTTTTGTCTACGAGGATTTTCATGTGGCTCATTTGTCCTTGATTGAGGAAAAGGGTGATGTTGCCACCCAAAAATATTTTGAGGAAAGTTTTCCTTCTTTTTCTTCTTCTTCTTCTTCTTTTTCTTTTTCTTTTTCTTCTTATTTTGTTGAGTTTACTTTTCATTCTTCTTCTTTCTCTTGGTAACTCTCTCCTCATAGGTGTGAACTATGCTTGTTGCATGCCTTATTTTTGTCATGTGCACACTTACTTTCATACGAAATATGTAGTAGTGCATTTGACAAGCTCTTGCATTCGTTGCAATATTATTTTACTAGAGCGGTCAAGCTTGGACCTTAAGCAAGCCTTTCTCGAGAAGTAGCCCGTGTTTTAGATTAGATTTTACTTTGTTTTTAGGATAGATTTTCTCTCATGGAAATTTTTGTGTGCATTTTGCTAGGTACATGACTTGATATACTTCGGTGCTACGATTTGGATCAAGAATCAAGGAAGGTTGACTCCTATTTTTGCTAGCATATGGAACCAAGGTTCAATTCTAGGAAATTAGCTTTAAAAGGTTTAATTGGGTCATTTGGGGGTATTTAAACCCACCTAATATCCGGTAATATCCTTCCTTGCTCTTTCTCTAGTGGATGATGACTTTTTGGACATATGTTGGTTTGTTGGATTGATCTCCTTGTTTTCCCCTCCCATGGTTTCCATGCTTATTGATTTGAGTGTATTGTCTCATTCAAGCTTGGGGGAGGGTATTCTATCATGTTTGGTGGGATGTTGATTCATATATGCTATGCACCCTTGTATATGCTTTTCCATGTTTCTTATATTTTGAAAAACTCCAAAAAGATTTTTGTTTCTATCAAGGCAAATTTGCAATGTGTTTTGTTTTGTTCTTGCTTTGGACATAATAACATTTGGACTTGTATAATTGAATGTTATTCTTATTAAATGGTAACGGTGTGCACGGTTTGAGAGTATGCTTGGTTGATTCTAGGATAAAGCATGCTAAGGTAGTTGGTTAGAACTAGTGGGACCATGAAGTCGGATTCTACTTGTATGTGGCATGTTTGGTAGTTGCTTCCTATAGTCGATTTGACACCAATAGTGAGTTTTTGCTACATCCGTGTGAGGTTCTTTGTTTTTCAAGCCTTCTACACTTATTTGCATGAGCGGCATGGATCCTTGACTATTGCGAACCTAATCTAGAATCTTGACTCATGTTTCTTAAGACCGAGACCGAACCATTTAGGGAGGACAAAGGCATATTTTCGGGGTGGTAATTTTTCTTTTCTAGGATAGTATTCTTCATTTTTGGTTTTTGGGTTTACATTTGCCTACTTGCTAACCATTTGAGCCTGATTCCCTTCTTTTCA